TTTTTTTTTTTTTTTTTTTTTTTTTTTTACCCAACTAATAATCATGTATAGCTTAATCAATCAATTATTGCGTACACTAGTTTTTTAAGCATCACACGAAACGAATGCTATTGCGAGACCTGAATGTAAGAGCACACAGTCAATACGATTAAATGTCTTACTTATGCCAAGTACATTTATACGGTGTATTTATGATCGAAACTCAAGTGCACACACACACACGCCAGTCATGGATTATTGACACAATTAAGTATTTGGCCTTTGAGGTTTTTGACTCTGCTCCCTCGAGAGCATGTATATAAGATTCTTTTTTTTTCCATATTTATTTATAACTATTGTAATTATTATTATCAAGAGAAGAAATAAAGCGAAACCACCCAGAAAATATATGAGTGTTGGAATTTATTGATCATTCCGATGGCAGACGTAATTTATTCTAAAATTAAACTAGCAACGGACACATGAATCATTACGTATGATGTAAATTAATAAAAGAATACTTACACGATGTGGTATATAAATAAATTTTATTTAATAAATTAAATTCAGACAAAAATTGATGATAAAATGGCACAAGGTACAACTAAGAATGATTTTCAATAATAGTTCACAAATATTGCGGTGTAAATGATTAAAAATTACTTTCTAAAATTAAAGGATTGTGCAACAATATGGGTATTCAACGGTACGTAATAGCTAAATAACATTATAAAAATATAGATTAACAAATCTTAGGAATAAAATGCGATTTGACGCTTAGCAGATGAAGCACAACAGATTTTTTATGTTGTATACACTAAATGACACATATAAAATGAAATTTCAGATACTTTTTTTTTTTTTTTTCTGTCCAAACTTTTTGTCAAAGTGTTAAAAATTTAATCGAGCGTGCTGTGTTTTAACCTTATGAATTAATCTTTGGTCATTTTTAAGGACTAAGATTAATAATAGCATGTCGTGAAGGTTAAAAAAAAAAAGCAATCAAAGATATGCCTACTTTGCATTGGAACTTATCTGTTTTTGTAAAATATTCATCCATTACGAAAGAATCAACAGTACATGATTTAACGTTTACACTGGGCGACCAAAATATTCACGGGAACAATCCTGATTTTAACGCCACAAACATCAATAGAATTTTTGTTGAAAACAGACGGGATAATTAATTCATTGTAGTAGCATGAGACGGTTAATTTAGATTTTTTTTTTTTCCTAAATCCGCAGGCAATAATTTTATGACGAATCAATGCTATTATAATACAACGTCAAGTAAAGATTTCAAGATCAATCAGCAGTCTTGCATCCTATTCACAAAATGACCATGAAAACTCTGTCACATATCACTCGTTTGCACAAATTTTAAAAGTCCTTGCACAATATTTACATAGAAGGCTCCAGGGCGTTTTGTAAAATGTTAGCAATCGTTCATGCATTTTCGGCGTTTTTCGATTTGATGAAAGCTTCGTAGGCAGCTGATTCTTTTTTCTCCTTCTCTAAATTTCTATTTTCATACTCTAACCTGCAATTAGAAGCTTTTTCAGTACAGTCTACTATGAATAAATAAAAAAATAAAAAATCTTGTCAATTTGATTTAGTTTAATTGAAACCTTTAAAGAACTTTAAAAGTAACTATTTGCCACACAAACAAATTACCAATTTCCAGTGGAGTAATTTTTTTCGCTCAAAAATTTTGAGATTTTTGTATGAAAATAATTTTTTTAAAAGCTCTTCTCGTTACGAATTACATTATTCATATCTTCAAAATATTTTTGATCGAATAACTTCATCTTCACGTCACTAAAGAAACGAAATGTTTCGTAAGAAAAGCAAAATTTGGATTCCATTAAAAGTAATAAAATTATGTTTCCAATAAGAAATTTGGAGAATAAATAAAAAGAAAAAAGAAAAAGTAAAAAAATTAATGTTTATTGTCGTTGTAAGTGATATGTACAAAAAAAAACATGATGATGCAACGAATTATCGGATGTTCAAGCTCTTAATGATTGCATAAAGCTCCGTGGACCTGGAGGCAAATGCAATTTATGACTTTGAATTCGCGTCATCAAATGTTCAATCAGATTTTTTTTTTTAATATTCATACTAGTGAGTGTGACGAATGTAATTTCAAAATAGTTTCATCATTTTGTACACTAAATTAAAAATGTTTCATCAAATAAATAATGTACGTCAATAAGGCTCACCTGTGTAATATTATCCTTTCGACGATTTTTTCTGTCGTCATGTCATTATTTGAATCTAATACTTTGAACTTGTTTTGTCTTTTTGGTTCTGCATAGGGATCCGTTCCATCTTCACACAACATAACTTTGTTTTTACCATGACAAATTACACTTACATTAAAATGTTCCATCAATTCTTTGGTAATTTTATAAGGAGCACCTATCACAACTTCATTGACGTACTAAAATGAAAGGAATAAAACATTTCACTGTAAACTTAAAATATCCATGTTTTAAAAAAAGAAACAAAATTTTATGCCCTTACTTTGCACGCCAATACACTTAAAACCCTTTCATGAAGGTTCATAATAGGATAATTTCCGCCTTTGTACCTATTTACAGCCGGATCAGTATGTAAACCGACAATCAGGTAGTCACCCTCCTTTTTAGCAACCTCCAAGAAATCCAAGTGCCCAACGTGAAACAAATCAAATGCTCCATCCACGTAAACCACTTTATCACCAGGCAGTGGACTTTTACCATCACTGAATTGTATAATTTTTTGCGTCGTTGGTAAAAATTGCGAACATCCCGTCCACGGGCTTCGTGCACTTTGGTCTTGACCCATACTTTTGCTTGGCTCTCTATCTACGCTGTATTCGCTGTCACCCTGTCTGAAGTGCTGTCTAGTCATCAATAACATACGACCTACAAGATCAGTCGTCGACACCCCAGCTGTCCTTTGAACCTCTCTGGAATAGTTGAAAATAAAATTTATCCAAGATTTAATAATTAGGTGTTAAAAAAAAAAAAAAAAAAAAAAAAAAACATTAAATAAAAACTATGTACTCGATTATTACCTATATCGTCCGGCTTTTTTGACTAAATGGTAGGTATCAATGCCATCCGCTGTCATGGTGATATCATCTCCGTGCACACAAAAATCACAATCGTACCTATCCAAAGTCTCCAATGTTGTGACATAAGGTGCCCCCACGACAACTTCATCCACCCATTTGATACCTTTGACCATCTTATACCTATGTAGGGAGAAAATAGTATTAATGTTTGTTCATTTAAATCGAAATTTCTTGCGGATTCAACGAAAGGAAAGCTTGTCAAAAATCCGAAAATTAAACTCATTGCAATCTAAGCGCACCTCTTTGTATACCTATAGTTATAATTTATAGGAGCTTAACCTTGGAGGAGGTCGCGTCGTCAAATATTGAAAAAAAAAAATTCCTGTACATTATCGACCGTTTGATAAACTCCAAAATGTATGGAACAGCACTATCGAGCGCGAACGAAAGAGAATAAACAAAAATATAATCAATACGGCAATAAAAAAAAAAAAAACACAAACCTCTCTTCTTCGGTGAAAACAGGTGGTCCCTTGTGCTTGGTGATCTCCTCGTCCGTGTGGACTCCGACGACCAAGTAATCGCCCAAGGCCTTGGCCTGCCTCAGCGAATTTGCATGGCCAAAATGTACCATGTCATAACTGCAACATCAGTTTCAAAGTAATCAATATCTCACGATTAATATACGGCCTTCGCTTGCGTCGGAGCTTAGAGCTACAAAGGGGAACCAAACGGTACGTTGAAAACCGCGAGAAATCAATAAAACTTTCAGTCATTATTTACATCGTGTGGCTATTTACGGGGTGTACCGCTTGAACGTGTACGTGTGTGTGTAAATGACGTGTATACCATGTAGTGGGCGGGGAAGCTCTGTATATACCTTATGATGATGCACCCTCACGCCACCGATACTTAAACACTTAAGAATAAAACTTTATAGAAGCCGATGAAAAAAACAAAACAAACACGTCTCTGGGCCAAAAGCCATGACATTGGGGGGAAAGAAAAAAAAGGAGCACCATATACTCACCAACCGTCGCACCAGACGCGGACCTGCTTGCGTTCCTCCGTCATGTCGATCCTCTTCGAGTGCAGCGAACCAACTGTCTCGAGCTCCAAAAGCTCTCTCTCTCTCTTCGAGCTGGCGCACGGGTAGGTATGACTACACACGAGGGAAAACACGTCCACAAGAGGAAGAGAGAAGCCAAAGAAGGATAGAGAAAAAAGAGCGCTTCTAGCCGCGTGAACTGAGTCACAAGTCGGCTAAACGAACAAACGCCGTTCGACGTGGCTGGCTCTCTTCTCCTATACTTACCTACTTACTACTTTTATTACTCGAGCCTCTGGGGCCGTACCATATAACCTTTTTTCGCTTCGAACGCCTATATGTAATAACATAAGCTCACGAAGCGGAAAAAACTTATGTGGTACGGCCCCTGGGTACTATTACTTGTATAATTTTTATTTTCACCAGCTGAATGAGTACTTAATTGTTGCCGCTCCGTTTCGCCCTCTTGCTTTTGACGATTGCCGTTTTGTTCGGGAGGAAAAAAAATACACCTACAGAGTATGTACGATTGCTTAACGGAGCGAATCGAGCTCCGTTGGGTGTATAAGGTATGCGGGGAATCCACATAATTGATGCATGAGTCACCATCGGCACATCAGACTGCGAATCTGCATTCTGTCTTTCCGAGAGAGGACTTTTTTTTTCATTTCGTCTGGCATCGGTGTTGGGAGGATTTTATTGAAAGGAAAAAACAAACTATAATATTCTACACGATCAATGAAGTACATTTAAATTCGTCGTCGACCTTCGTTCGATTTTTCGTCTGATATGTCTTGCAAAATGAGTGTTGCTCGTTGAACCCCAAGTGATTTTTCCCCCCCAAGATCTTGAAAATAGTCTTTTGATGTCTTCCTATTGCAGAGAAAAGTAATGTTTGTCCTTCGAAACTCGACAGTCGTTGAAAGTAGAAAATCAAGGGTGGCCATTGGTTTGATGAGTTTAGGTACACTCGAGCAAAGTTTCAGATCTGCTAAAAAACAATAAATTTTTTCCCCTTTTTTTCAGAGGATGATTATTTTTTCCAAATTTATCTCGAATGAGCAAAAAAACACAAGAACACAAAAATAAAATTTAACATAAAATACTTATTTGTCATCAGCTGCGGAGAAGCATAAAAAGATTCGATAAAAAAAAAGACACGCTACGTCACGTGTAATTTGACTTTTTTGCTTATTTTTACAAACTGCAGCAGTCGTGGGCAAAAGTTTAGTTGTAGCCTCTTTTTATACAATATTATTTGCTTCATTTTGTAAAAACCATCCACGTCATTGATAAATTCACGGCACAGAGTGCAAAGGTATACGTTTACCCTTTGAACTATAAATACGCGCAATGCATGCCTCCACTTGCATACCTGGCGTGCGGTATTGCACTCGATCGTTTCGTCAGCGCTGAAGCGCTCATGTTATACGCTTGCGCTGCTTCGGAAGTCGTTATCGCGCCAAAGAGGAAATTTCCAGCTAACGTTGGTTAACATCGAATGATGTAAAAAAAACACACGAGTTATTGATAGGGACAGTGGAAAAATTATGCGCAATCCGCAATTTTTCGGTAAGTCCGCGTGGACAATGTAAAGTTACATGATATCACAATACATGTACTCGCCGTCGTTGACTTATTTCTGCTTGACTGCAATCATCTCAACTTTTCTTGACATTTAAATGGACTCGAATGATAATCCGATACGTGCGCGCGTACCTACATCAGCGAGTGAAAATATAGGTATTGAGTTACTATTCGAGCGTACGTTTAATTGATGTTTTTTTTTTTTCGGAAAATCTCGCTGTACGTGTCCCAGACCTAAATAAAAGAAACCCTGATGAAGCGAACGAGTCTCGGCAATCTTATCACGGCCCCCTACGATGAATCAACGATCTCGAGCATACAAGCAGGGGAATCGTATGATTTTTAAAATCAGTGGCCAGGCGAGCGCTTCGTAGCCCGAAACGCTTTTCTCAACACAGACATTCCGTGCAGTGACACGTGATGATGTAAATTCCACTTAATTGATGGTAGTAAATGATAACGATTTTATCTTGATGCTCATCGTTTTTTTTTTTTTTTTTTTTTTGCTTGATGCGATGCGATCATTTTTTCGTAGTGCATTTTAATTGTGCTCCTCGATTATTCAAGGAAAATTTCGAGTGGCAATTAAATTTTCCAAGTATCGGAATGAGAACGTGCTTTTTTCATAAATCTGTTGCGGAAAAAGTTGCATTTCATCGGCATTCGAATTTTGCTTAGTAAGACTGTTCAAGAACGTCTCTTCGTGATTCCATGAATTCTGATCGAGTGCCAATGGCTATATAGTCTTTGACAGCGAAACCGAATGTTTTGCTCAATAAAGTGGTAAAAAAAAAAAAATTTAATACATTGTATTTTTTTCTTGATACACCTACAAGCGTTACTTTTAATCTGAAAATAGATTGGTATTTTGCAGAAAATGGATTGGAGAATCATAATTTACCAGTATTATTTTCTGCATAAAACGATTTTTATTTGAAAATTTTACAGTACGGTGTATGCAGACGTTTTGATAGATTTTATAAAATAATTTTATTAAATAACAATACCTTATGAGATTATTTCTTACTGTAGTTACCATCATCTACTGCCTTAGAGATGGAAATGAATATTTTATGCATGAGATATGGAGTAACTTATCAAAACCTAGAAATAAAAGTTTCTACTGGTCTCTAAGAGCAGCTGAATTAATGCTATCTATTTAATATCCATTACAAGGAATACTCTTGTCCAGTATTTAATCAGACTATAATTGAGTATGATCTATCTTCGAATATAATTGAAAGTAAAAATAAAAAAAAATCTGCGCTAAGATGATGTATCCCAGACCAGTCCTTGAGTTCTCTCTAATTCTAATGTACATTGAGTTCTTAACGAGACATTTAATATCCATTTTGCATTCGACCTCCGTAGCCGCTACCGCCTCCACTTCCATACATGTTTCCATTGTGGCTGTAGCCACTGCCCAGTCCACCGCCACCGCTGCTGCCTAAACCACCACTGCTACCAAGACCTCCGCCCATACCACTGCCCAGTCCACCACCACTGCCAAGGCCTCCACCCCCACCGCTACCTAGACCACCAAAACTACTCTGTCCACCGAAGCTTTTGTTGCCTCCATAGCCGCTTCCTAACCCACCTGCAAAAAATCAAGATTTGATTTCTTAATGTTTCACTACGCCCAGATAAAAGAGCTTGTGCATTCACAATCCTATCGACATGCTTACCTCCAGAGTTACCACCCCATTTGAAATTTCCTCTATCTGTGCTTCGGTCTCTGAACCGGTTACCTCCGCCCCCTCGATCATCGCGACCACCGCGGCCTCCACGGGGACCACCACCACCTCGTGGTCCACCACTACGACCACCTCCACCTCCACTGCGGCCGCCGCCGAATCTACCACCTAAACAACATTGAATATTGGATTGTTAATTTTTTTTTTTTTTTTTTTTTCCCACTATAAGTTTTCACCGATTTCTCCATAGCAAATTCAACCCTTACGTTTAAAAGTTCCTGGGTTTCTTGACAGTTCGTACAACTTGGGATTAACGACCTGGTTTGCTTCCTCGAGTACTTGGATCAAGTCGTTAGCCTTATGCCCGTTTCCGGGGGTGAAAAAAGCGTAGGCTGTGCCTGTGCGCTGTGATCGCCCCGTACGTCCGATTCTATGGACGTAGTCCTCGGAATTGGACGGGTAGTCCAGATTTATCACAAACTTGACGTCTTCCACATCTGCGCAAAAAGACTCATGACGATCGCAATACGATAAATTACTTGTTTCTTTGTGGTGTACAGAATTTCGAAGTAAGAAATAGACGTTTAAATAAATTGATTTTACTGAAAGTTTTTTTAATTTAGTAAAATAAAAAAAAAAAAATTAAATAAAAAATTACATTTAAAAAAGTGTAAAATTGGGCCGTTACTTTGTTTGAATGCAAAGAAAAAAAATTAAATATGATATAAGTAAAGAAAATCATAAGGGATATCGGGTTAAAGAAAAATGTGGCAGCAGGTGAAAAAAAAGCCTACCAAACAATTGCTTTTCAAAACAAGAAAAGTACCGCTGTAAAATTCGACCACAAAGAGCAAGCTTATGTTGTAATTACCTGTTGAGTTTGCATTGCTGGAAATGTAAATATACATTTTGAAAATGTAGAGGAATCAAAGCTCAGATGGTTCTCTTAGCGAGTCTCGCTTTTCGATCAATGATCCTAACGAGCTCTCAGTTATAGAGTCTTAAGGGACTTGCCACACCCCTCTCTCCCGCACCAAAGTATGGATCTCTGTGCTGGTCTTTGAGCAAGTCTTGCGCTTCTCGCCGAGTATTGCTGCCGAATATACTTGAAGCCATACCAAATGTCTAGCTCTCCAAGCGGGCCCGTGTATACAGTAGCTACCTCGGCCTCAAGAAGTTCCACTTGCACTGCTGTTCCATCCGACTGTGTTATGTCTTATGCATTGCATGTTTATATAGTCGAAACATCGCGACATCGTATTTACATCTAAGACCGATTTGAAAACTGAGAACAGCTTGGCAAGTGGCAATATCTTGGCGCCTTAACTCGCGTATGTTTTTTGTTATTCATTCGCTAAAAATGTGTATCTATTTGTTGTCGGCCTAACATTAACTTTCCATACTTTGGACTGTCGCAGGTTTAGAGTAAGAGTGTGCGTTCTGAGTGGCACGGTAGAGCTGAGGCACAGCGTTTATATTAGCTTGTTGCTCGGAAGGGCGACGACCAGCAGAGTCACGCCCCCCTCTGTTCATTTATTTATTCCAAAGCAAGCTTCTCCAGAGTTCTTATCATTGATAAAACTCCGTCGCATGTGCCTCTGAAAACACATAGAACAGCAAATTACAACCAGACTGACACAAATTTTTTTTACATATTCAATTATCATCGCGCCCTGGTTTAATGCGAGATTTACTCTTTTTTTATTACTTTTTTTTTTAAAACCTTAGTTTGTCGCTCACTTAGCGCTAATGTATTCTGAAGTACTGATCCAAATCTTGTAACTTAAATTCGAGTTTGGATCATTTATACCTAAAAATTATCAATTTGTTACCAAAATTCGAGCATATTTGTGTGGATAAATCGTATACAAAGTCTTCAGAATTAACACACTAGCACTATCCTGAAATTACACACGCCTAGTACATAATCGTATTTGTATTGAGTCTTTAAAATACGAAATTATTTAAACCATACCTATATTTTTATGCGAGTTAACGTGTATGGCATGTAAACGAATGGATGACTTAATATCTACAGGATGAGATTATACCCTAAGAGAATGTAAATATATATATATATATGTATGCAGCTCCGATAAATTGGCCGATTCTTTATCAACTGGAGCTTGAATGTAGATCAGTCTGGCACATGCCGTTATCCGTTGCCACATTTGAACGTCAAACAATTTGACCTTATAACCATCGCAGCCTGACCCTTACATCATAAGGTTACGAGAATTGTTAAACTCTTACCTAAACCTCGCGCTGCCACGTCGGTTGCCACTAAAATTGCAGATCGGCTGCTTCTGAACTCTGAAAATAAATGTACAAGGTAAATAAAAGTACGACATTATTACTATGAAATTTTGCAAAATCTTACGGTTCAAAACATAATCACGATCCTGCTGGCTTTTGTCACCATGGATAGCTAATGCCTGCCAACCGTATCTATTAATAACCCTTGTGATTTCATCAACTTTTTTTTTGGTTTCAACAAAAATAATTGTTTTGTTTTCAGGCTCGTTTGAAATCTCTTCCAAAAGTTTTATGAGTTTGCTTTCCTTTTCATACTCTTCGCAGACATCAACGATTTGAAGAATATTGTGATTAGCAGCTAGCTGCAACGATCCAATATTAATTTGAATATAATTAGTTAGGAATTCTTCAGCGAGGTTGCGCACTTCCTTTGGCCACGTTGCAGACCACATGAGAGTTTGACGATCTGGCCTAATTTGTTCTACAATTTTCCTAATCTGTGGTTCAAAACCCATGTCCAGCATTCTATCAGCCTCGTCCAACACCAAGTAGGTGCATCTTCTCAAATTGGTTGTTCCGCGCTCCAAAAAGTCGATAAGACGACCCGGTGTGGCTATACAGATTTCTACACCACGTTCTAGATCACGTGCTTGGGGTCCTTTGGGAGCACCACCAAACACACAGGTGTTTCTTACTTGAGAAGAAACACCGAAATCTATAGCAACTTGCTGAATCTGTTGAGCCAATTCTCTCGTTGGAGCCAAAACTAGGGCTATGGGCCCATCATTTCTCTGGAGACGAGGTTGATTGTTGATGTGGACGATCGCTGGAAGTATATAGGCTAGTGTTTTGCCGGATCCTGTTTGAGCAATACCCACCATGTCTCTACCAGAGAGAGCTATGGGCCATCCTTGGGCCTGATAAAATGATCAACGTTGTGAAAGTGTGCATTTGTCAAAGATTCACTGAGAAGTAAATCGTAATACATTACCTGGATAGCAGTGGGTTCACCAAAACCTTGCCTACGAATTTCCGCCATGACATAATCGGGAAAGCCACCTTCCTCGAAGTAGATATTTGGGGATGGAACGTTGTTACCTTTGACAGTGATCTCCTTGTCAGACCTATAGGCTTCTACGACATGGGGACTGCGGCTACTAACATTAGGATGGGGCCTGTAAAAGTCCTTTTCAAACTTTTGCAAGCTACTCATGTCCCATCTTGGCTTGCGTAGACGTTCACCAGGTTGTGAGTTTTTGAAGGATCCACTTCTACCTCCAAAACCACCACCGTCTCGGCCACCGCCGCCTCCACCGAAGCGTCCTCCGACATCTGATCGCCCGCCTCCACCACCGCCTCCGTATCTACCGCCACCGCCTCCACGGCCACCACCACCTCCTCGTCTATCACCACCACGATCACGATCCCTATAAGCCCTGAAATGATTTTTTTATCAAAAATATCGTCTCTTCATGTAATGTTCGTTCTCGGACTGCTTGAAATGTAGAAGAATATAGTTTCGAAGGCCTCATAATATCATCTTTAACAAGAGACAGCCACGAATTTTCGAAAGAAAAACACCATCAACTTACGAATTCATAATTAATTGAGAGCGCTCTAATCTGGAATTCATACGAAGTACTTATAGCTCATCGCAAAATATGTTCAAGATGTATGGCATTTATGTACAGTATGTATAGGGGTATATGCTATTCCTATAGCAGCGTTCGTAAAATGAAAATATTTGAGCTTCAACAAGATGCATGAACGACTTTTTTTCACCAGCTTACACAATACACACTCCCCACAGAATATTTACACAAGTACTCATTAATAGAAACGAGTAAAGTATACTTACATTGTCATTTAGGCGAAAAAAGCTTAAAAAAACCAAGTAGTGATGCTTTGTTTCGGAGCAGCAATCAATTATCCTGTAGCTCTAGAGCATTCAATGATGTTGAGTCTACTGACAGTGACATGCAAGATGCAAGAACTGCAAGACCGTAAGTAAGTACTACCTAGTCGTGCACGGAGGAAGAAAAATTGTGTAGATAAAACACCGCCACTCTTTCACAAGACAAAATGGCCGCTTCTGGGGTAGGTATCTCCTCTTGTCTATGATTTAATGTGCATTCTCGCGACGCAAGAAGCAGCTTCTCTCTCTGCACCTATGACGTCATTGCAGCGCCAAGTTCAAATTTTTTTTACGAATTGTTAAAAAAAAATATATGAACAATTATACCCCAAAAATTACTCTACTTGTGCACGAATTATAACTAAATTAAGTAATACATTGATTAAAGAGCTTGACGTGCATAGTTGACAAAAATAAACTTCTTATACTATGGTTGTAATGTTAGGATGTTTCTCGCTACTTTCTGCAAGTTAACATTAATATCAATTTTTATCAATAGTGTTGCTGAGCTGTTTGTATGATGAAATAATTATCAAACATCGCAACTAATACCATATCGTGTGGACAATTTTTTAAATTTAGGATACTTGAACACTGACGAAAATACAAATTTTGGGATAATCAAAGAAAAGACAATTAACGCTCTTGTTTTATTTATTTTTTATACCGTACAAAGATAAAAAGTTATTTTTTTTTACTTTGCCTGGGCTGCTGCAACTTCATCTTCTCTCTGGTAGGACTGCAAAAGCTCTTGTTTCTTTGATGCGATACGTTCAGCCCTGCGCTTACGGGCTTCACGTACCTTGGTTCTTCTAGCTTCAGCTTGATCTTTCAACATTTCTGTTCTTGCCTTTTCAATCTTTTTTTTGTGAATGAACTCCATCAAAACTCTCTTGTTCTTGAAGACATTACCCTTGGCTTTCATGTACAATGAATGATACAGATGTCTATCAATTTTCTTAGACTCACGGTACTTTTTGAGTAAACGCCTAAGGACTCTCATACGCTGTGTCCATAAAACCTGGTTAAAAATAATAAAAATAAAATTAATCATGACGCAATAAAATTTTTCATTGACAGTATTAAAAAATTAATTGTGAATAAATGTAACTATGGGCAGTGTCTAGTTAAAGAAGGATACACAAAATTTTTTTTAATGAACCTTGACTCAATTAAATTGTAAAAATAATGAGCGTAATCAGCTGGTCAAGCAATATGTGAAACATCAAAATGCTTGGCAAAAGACAATAGCAATGAGTGCATCCTTTTAACAGATATTACTGAAGGGTATGTACAGTTGCTTAGTAGAGTCTAAAAGATTGTACGTAATAGCCAGTTAAAAATCTAATATAAAATTACACCCCTACTAATTTCCAGTCAAAACAAACAAACAAATTCTTATCATATAGAAGAATATACAAATCGTGTCAATGTATGTAACAATTCTACTAGATGCGCTCAAATGATGCGGTAAATACAGAAAATAAATCGAAGAAAATTATGGCACTATGTAAATGATAAAATTAAAGAAGGATCAATTATGTAGTATTATAGTACACATAATGCACATAACGTCCAAAAGAATAGTTTACAACAAAATGTTGAAAAAATGTAACAATTTGTAAGAACTAGTAAAAATATTTTTTAGAAGAATGACATGAAAATGAAATGAATATTACAACAAATCCAGTAGCCAAAAATATGAAATGTAGCAAATGGAGAAATAATTATTAGAGGTGAGCCGAGTATTTACTATATTTGATTGTTAGATATGTGCTACAGCAATCTTACTTTTGACTAAGGTTTATATTATAAAAGTTTACTCACTTTCTCAGGAGTACGTGCGTTTGCAGTACCCTTCCTCTTACCAAAACCACAGTGACGACCTTTACGTCTGGCTTCAGTGTTTTTGCGCACACGAGCTCTAGAGTGCACTGCAACAGGCTTTTTGATGATTAGCCCATCTTTAATGAGCTTGCGGATGTTTTGTCCTGGAATTGTAAAAAATAAAATTAGTCACTTACAATTTATAAGATATTAATGTAATAGAAATGCGAAAATTGTCAACTTACTGGAATTAGTGTTGGAAATTTCTGAAATTTCATTTGGATCTAGCCAGACCTTTTTTTTCCCGCATCCCAAAACGGAAGCAGCGAGTCTTTTCTGCAACTTGAGCGAACTGAAACACGAATAAGGTTATGTTAACACAACTAATTTGCTCAACAAGCTGTGCACAAACAATTTCCACAAGAACTTATTCATTAATCTTCAGGACACATTAATCATCGAAACTTGGGGGAAAAAACTTTTACAAATGTACTAATGTATGTAATCATTGAAGTTGTTAATGGTTTAACCACAAAAAAACACTGACACGTGACAGATGCACGAAGTTGTAAACGCTGCTTACTTTCATACACATTTTTATTTGTATTGAAATTGACCAACAACTTTTGATATAGTAATTTTTATAAACAATAACCGAAGAGTATAATTACCTCATGTTCTATGCAATCTACTCTTAGAATAAAATGTTTGCCTGGGCTCTCCCTCGCGGCTCACAGCACGAAAAGAAAGCAGGTTAGTGCTATGCTACTGAGTCGGTTCGGTTCAATCTGTTTCTTCACACTAAGCTGTGTAGGTATGTTAGTTTTAAAGAACGGACCGAAATTAACTGATATCTCAAAATTATCTTACCAACAACAAAAAAAACGCACCCATATTTTTAGTTTTTTACTTAACGCAAAATAAGCTTTTTTTTTTAGTTCTGTGACTGTTTCAAATAAGGGTGCAATATAAAGTGGATCATTTAGTTCGACTTTGATTTGAATTTGTCGCCACAATAAAGTATTTGCGAGTTGAAAAATTAAATGCAGCATGCACAGTAATTTTAGTTTAAGTTATAATTTACTGGCACAAGTATAAAATACTACCCACTGTGGGTACATAGCACAGCAGTGGTTGTTGCACAGTTTAAAATTTTTTAGTTTCCGCCCTTTGTGACTGTCAACCGGAATGTAGGAATGAACCAACCAATCGCAGCTGTGTTGTACACACGCAGGGAATTTCTAGAGATATTTTGGTTTTATCTGTACAACACTGTTGAATTTAAATAATTCTTCTTGAAGAAAATCCACCGATTCGAAATTACTTATTGTAGTAACAAATTTAAAATAATCAAAGTGGTCGAACGAGTTGTTTGAAAAAATTACCAAGACCGAATAAACCTTAAGAAATTAGAATAAATGAAAAATCTAAAACTCCATGACTCCATATTAATTGAAACATATATTTTATGTAGATGTTGTGTGCATTCAATCGAGACACAATTAATAATCCTCGCCTGATTTTTTAAAAAATTTACCTATAATGATATTTATTTTTCAAAGCACTCCGAATCGATTGTATTTTTTGTATGGTATGGATATAATGGATTAAATGGATAGAAATACCGCTTGCAACACCATCTACATGTTTTCGTAAGGGTGCGGGATGCGTAGAGGGGGGTTGTTGGGATTCATTATGTATAGATATACACAAACAGAGAAGTACTAGAGAGACAGAGAGTGTGCAGTCTACAGCCGGCATGGAGCGCACCCTCTCGTGTGATAACCAAACACGCGATAACAGTACCCACTATACCAGAGAGAAGAGAGAGAGAGAGAGCAGCGCACACAGCATCTCTCCCTGGCCAGGTTGCTGTCGTAGGTGGGGCGAGGGGCAGGCAGAGGAGCGCGGAGCTGCTACACGGGAGAGATGAGAGAGAGGAATCTTTCTGGTCCTTCTCACTGCACATACACACGTATACAATATGTATATGTATATGTGTGTGTGTGTGTGAGGTATGTGTGCTGCTGCAAGACCTCGGCAATATCCCCCTTCGCTCCTCTCTCGCTTGGCCACCATGCAGAAAGCCGCCGTCGCCGTTCGCTCCGCTGCTGCCGCGCGAGTTCATTCTCCTTGTCTCTCCTCTCTTTACCCCACCCCCTCCCCCACTTGCTCGGCTCGACTCGGTAGGCGCTCGGCTTCGGCTCCTCTCTTATATATTACTGCATGTGTGTGTATATACATATTCTATTCTGTGGTGCATGCGAGTACACGTAAAATCTTCAAAAAAATAATAATAATAAAAAAATTTGACTAGTCACTGGAAATAATCTTAATTTAGAAAAGGTGTTTACAGTTGTCACCTTCCAACCTCGGGAATTTCATTCCCATGCTCGCCCTACATAATATACTTATACTTCAAAAGTCATTTTCATTGTTTTCGACTTTGCTCCCACACCAGCAGGACTTTATAAGCGTGATAACTTTGTCTTTTTTTACCGTTGAAAAAAATAGTTTAATTTTCTTACATGTACTTACATCCAAGATTGGTAGATATACAACTTTCAATTGGAGCTCTCTATAGTTGAAGCAGAAACAACTACAATCGGGTCGAAAGTCACGGATTATTATTATTTTATACCGAAAATTCCGTAGTTAGGGGAAAAAAAATGCAATATTTCGATGGAACAAATACCGTACGTGACAATACGATTATCAGAGATATACGAAATTGTACGTTTCAATGAAAATTGTTGAAATATTTTAAGTAAGTAAATGAACGACAGTTTTTGCGTTTATTTGAGCCTGGTCGAGTTAGCGTACAAATTCGATTACTTTCCTTCATTTGACCCCTCGAAAACTCATATTAAAGCTCTCGTTTCGAAATCGACATGACCAATTAACTACAGTACACATTTTACATAATAATATATGATTTTGCAAAATCTTGGATACTCATAAGGATACACATGCAAATTTATCGAGAGCACGAATTTTTCGATATCTTTCCTCTTCTAAAGTAATATGTAATTGATATTAATATTGATATAGAACTTTATTGAGGCCTTGTGGCTGTGCCATGTCTGGCCCTCAAATAAAAATACACAGAAAAAATCATAAACAGTAACAATAAGTATACGTAGTCTAAAAATAATAATAAAGATACAAATTTTTAAAGGTACAATGAATATTTATAACAAGGTTCGTAGAATTTAAAAATGACGCATAAACTGTTTAATTAACGATTTAGAAACAAAAGAATAAATAAATGAAGTAATCAAATGTATATACGAGTAGTATGAAAATAAGTGAGGAAAAATAGAAATTATTATATCATAGTAAGTAGGTATATATATAATAGCTTTCGGAGATTTTTCAAAGATTCCTCGTGTATACGTACAAGGTATACATACATATAAACTTCTGTATCAAAGAGCTCTTTCTCTCGCTGGCTCCTTTTTCTCTCCTTTGATGCGATGCTGCGCTCCGCACAGTATGCAGTTGCAGCGACGGAACGGACGTCCCTCGCTCTCGGAAAGAAAAGAGGGAGGAGGAGGAGGAGGAGAAGATGAATAAGGGCCCTATGTATATATGTTTATACAGTGGACACACATATATAGATATTGTGTACACGTAAAACTCTGAAATTTCGGAGTTTTTCCTTTTTTTTTTTTTTTTTTTTTTTTTATATTTCCTTTCCTCAAACGTGTTGTATAGCCGGTATAGGTCGTACCTATATACCTACTTAACTATATCGCTCTTCAAAAAGTAGCTGACGCAGAACAGAGCCCATCAGCTCTCTTGGTGCATAGTTGTCGGCGGGTTGGGCCCCCAGGCGACTTTGTGTGTGGGTCTGCCTACCTTATCCTCTCTGTATACCTACATACACATAAATATATATATATACATATGATATAACGTTATAATATATTAGACGACTGCTACATATGAGAGGACGCGGGTGCAGTGTTTCCTCGATATTTCTCTGCCTTCCTATATATATAAAATGTACGTACAGATTTGACAATGGAATCCGACGTCCGCTCGTACAATAAACGACGTCGTGATGTCGACGGGCGGGCACGCGCGATACTCTATATATACCTACACATGTGTGGGGCTTGTCCCTCGCATTTTCCGGAAAACGAGTCCGCAGGGGGGGGGTGTGGGATATATTATATACACTTACATGGGGTACGAGAGACGCATCCTCGCCCGAGGATATATTATCCCCGCGACAGTATAAGCGACACAAAAGTCAAGTCTCTCTCTCTCTCTCTGCCTTTATGTCCTTCTGTCGGCGCGATCAGTGGGTGTACATGGTTTCATTATATATATAAGTGCGCGCGTGTAACAGAATGCAAGTGAACACAATGAAATGCGCCCGGTCTGTATAGGTTGGCAGCTGCGGGGGAGTGTACCTATATGTATATGGGGGTATATAAAAGAAATAAGGATATGTGTATACAACATATACGTTGAGCAATTACGTGGTGCATACTCCATCCTACCTATAACCATGTACGTGTGTGCGCCCATGGTCCGTTATGTACGCTAATTCGCCCCCTCCCGTTGCCCCTGCTTATATATATATATATATACCTACGACATCCAGCATCAGCCTCTCCGACTCGCGGCTGCAGGAGCATTCTCCTTTCGAAGACGCACTTTCACTTCGTATGTACACGTACGTCCTTATGTACAGGTATATTGGAAATAACGCGGTATATGGCCACCGGTTCTCTTCACGCGAACACACCGAGCATTGCGAGCATCACGTAATATATGTAGGTATTATTACAACAATCCGCGCGAGTTAAAGCTTCATCGAGAAGGGAATAATTTGTAGTCGCCGCTGATGATTATCGTGACAATTTGGCGATCATGCATGTGCCCCTCCATAAGTATACAATGCACGTTGCGCGGGGCCTTTTTTTTTCCTTTCTCCCACCCTGACCATTTTTGTTTATTTGTTGTACCTTTTACACGCGCCCACATTTCCGTGAACGTTTAACGTATGGGTACTTACAGATGTTTTTGCCGGGCGCGCGTCGATTTATGAATTTTCATGTCACCCGGCGTGTGAAAATGAGAAAACGCATATATCGCATATATTTATACATGGTCGTCGCGCGGGTAAACACACACACGCACGATCGAGGCACTGCCCCCGAGGATGTGTGTGTCGTGCCGTCGGGGTGGTAAATAATACACGGTACGCGGTGCCTATGTATATTTATACACGGAGAGCAGGGGGGAGACGGGGCAAAATATTCAATCGAAGGCCGCATGCAGCGTGTGAAGCGTAAAGACTCGCAGTTTATCCCGGCCCGGGATTAGGGGCTCCCCCGTACAATATATACGCGCACAGTGGTTATATATATATATATATAGAGAGAGAGAGAGAGAGGTGTAGGTATACCGTTGCCCCGACGAAGCCGTTCGCTCTATCTCGATCCACCCTCCCTCACCGATACTACGTATATACACACACGTCGTCTTGGCAAAGCCCAACATCATGATTTAGAATTTCAATTTATATCCAAAGGTACACCCATTACGTGTGTATACATATATACTTATACATCGCTACTCCGATCGCTCTCGACTCCCAAAGAAGGGGCTCGGTGGCCCCTGCTCTCCGTCAGCCGCGTCCCGCTTTATTAATTTTCAATTTGGCCCGGCGATTTTTGTTAATCAAGCGCAATACATGTATACATAGGATCGCATAGATAATATCGGTGGTGTGCATGCATACGT